ATAAAATCTACTATTAATTAGTTGCACAATTACAGTCTACTGTGGATGACATGATAACCGATTTCAATCCTGCTCATTTGTAAAAAATATTAAAATATCTTAGACGACAGAGCGACATGATACAGGTTCCTTTGACTCATGTAACGTCGCTCCATAAATGTTGACGTAGCAACGCACTTACACGTATGGAGTCAGTAGTTTCACTAATAATGGGCTGAGTCAGCGTAACAGTGAATAGGAGCACTGAATGACTAAGCAGTGAGGAACAATGCGGGATGTTATGTTCGCAATTGTGTTTCACCATGCCCGCTGTTAAAGCAAGCTCCGACAGGAGAGCCGTTTTTGGCCATCTCTAAGGAATGTACTGTTCTCTCTAACACGCACACACACACACACACACACGCACACACACACACACACGCACGCACACACGCACGCACACACGCACACACAGACTGTTGCTCAACCTCTTCAGTAATTTCTTAGTTTCCTTCTTGTGTCACAACAATAAGCTTCAGAGTCAAGGCAGTAACAAATCACTTGTATTAGAACACACACAAACACGAGCTGTTATTATACAACTTGCTGTCGCACCCAAGAAAAAGCTTTGTGTGTTTGATTTAAGGACACCTGCATAAGCTGAGATTTGGCGGTTGTCCAGACTCGGGAAACCTACACGCCACACCTTTGCTGCTGCATGTCACTCGATTCCAGTTTCCTAATTGGTCCTTTAACTTGTGTGTAATCTGTTTGTTATGGATACTTGTCCCGCTTTCGACCACTTTCGCAGACTTAAACACACCTGCCTGTCACAGTCGTTTAACCCCTAAATATAAACAGTGTTTGTGGTTAGCTAGATCATAGAAGAACTCTATGGTCACATGATCATCCGCAGCGATACGTACAATGATATAACCGCACGTGTTATTACCCAGAAAAATGCCTATTTATAGCAAGCGTTCAAAGATCAAACATGAACTGATACAGCTCGGTGTTTTGTCTGTGCATTTAAATCTGTCCAACTCTCTCTAACCTTCACAGAAACTAGTCTGAGAGGAAAACAAATCCAGCCAGCATGGCCAAGCTGTCTCAAATATACATTTGTTATTGACAAATTGTGCAGAAGAGCATCTCTGAATGGACAGCGTGTCAAACCTGTAAGCAGATGGGCAAAATTGGAGATTGGAAAATTGGAAAGGCGCTGCCTGGTCTGATGAGGGTTTCGTGGGTGTGACAATAACTCCACTGTACTCTACTATTGGCCTCCACAGTCACCAAATCTAAATCAAATAGAGCACCTTTGGGATGTGGTGAAACAGGAAATTCACATCGTGAATATGGACCAAAACCTCCGTCACCTTCTTGAATCTGTGCCATGAAGAATTAAGACAGTTGTGAAGGTAGCTAGCTTAATTCTTCATGACAAAGTGTACTAAATAAAGTGACTGGTGGGTGTGTACTTCCCCTGGATGTATATAACATGTTAGTTCATTAATAAACATGTATTTCATATATGATAAAGAACCGCTCCAGCTGTGCCGTAAAACGCACTCCCCTCTTCACTTCTGTTTGAGTCACATCTGCTACAACCTGCCAGCTGTTTCACAAACCCACTGTGATCGTCAGAAAACAGAAATAAATAAAAGAGGGAACAAATGAAAGCCGATCAGGTGCTGAATGAGAGCGATATTCAGACCACATGTTACTTGCAGAGCAAAGTGTGACTCAAAGCGCCTTCATTCATGCACAAAGTGGAACCAGATGTTGCGCTGAGAGCATGATCACCGATACAGAAATGCCCAAGTAATTCAGCCGGTTCCTACTGCCGTAGCGTTGCACAGCACACACATGCTGAAGTGACAAATGATTTGCAATTAGCACTGAGCCCGTTAGTTACAGTTTAACTTAAACCCCGACCACAGGAAGCACAAATCAGGAAACGTTCGCCATCGTGATGGCAGAAAACAAGAAAAGAAAACGAGCTTAAAGATGTTTTTTTTTTATCTCTGAAACTTCTGCCTCTTACTCTACTGAGATACTCATGATAAAAGTAAAAAAACTGAACTATTTTTACTCAGTGAAATGACAGATTTTTGCTAACTGAAGCTATTAGCTAGCTAATTAGGCGTATGTTAGTTTGAAACGGTTGAAATGTCGTCACCAGCTGACTCCTTAGTGAATCCAGGTGACTTGCTTTAATGGAAAGAGACTTCTTGACTTGATGGCCACATACAGTATTTATTCTTAAACGTTAAAACTGCCTGTCTGAGGAAGGCTAACAGCCAACAGCAGAACATAAACCATTTTATGTGCACAACATGCTTTTCCTGACTCTCTCTCCTCCTACAATGAACACATCAATATCCACGTGTAGCATCTTTATCAGCTGTCATGGAGAGGAAGGCTCCGCTCCCTGGTGCAAACCCCCCACAATCCCTGCAGCTCTACACATCTGTGTTAATGCTTACACATATGCACACCTACAAGGACACAGGCGCTAAAATAATCATGTTTGGCTGTAAAAACTGGATTAAAAAAAAGAAAAAAAATTGTATTCATCTCTGTTTGTTAGCTCTGCTTGTTAAAACGCAGCATTAACTATCCATCTGTGCTTTATCAGCTCACTATGTGGATATAATATAGAAAACGCATGTTGGACGGGGCAGGAAGGACGCAAAGAGAAATCGGAGGGAAACAGTGACAGCTGGGCCGAGCGAGGTGGTGAGTTATGCGCACCGTCGTGTGATGTGTTCAAGTTAAAGAGTACAGAGTGAAGAGGAAGAGGAGGGCGTAAGATGAATGGATGTTTAGAGTGATGGAGAAAGAGAGACGGAGGAGGGGGGGCGAGGCAGACGGAGATATAGATGGACCGAGAAAAGAAAGAAGTAGTGTGTTATACTACAGATGGTTCCCACAGGAGGCATCCATTGGTGTGCCATGGGGACTTTCCAGTGTCACAGAACATTGTACATGTACAGTAATGGAAATAATAAATTCTATTTAACTTCTATTGCAAATACTCATACGACCAGTTTACAGTTTAAAACATGCGACTAAAACATGTATAAATTAATAGTATGTTCAGTCTGCAGCTATCAAATGTATATTCTTAGAAATTGCAATAGTCTGCAAACAGCGTTTCAAAAGAACTAAAGGGTTTGGTGTATTTACAGGCCACACAATAATCAGATTTAAAGAAAACACTTTTCTAAATGCAAAAATGAATAAATAAATAATGCACTAATCCACCCATCCATCCATTTTCATCCGCTTATCATTTTCAGAGTCGCTGGGGGGCTGGAGCCCATCCCAGATGTCACAGGGTGAGCAGCAGGGTACACCCTGGACAGGCTGCCAATGAAATGAAAGTATACACACGAGCAAACTAAGGCATAAAATAGCCTTTAAGCCGTTTTCTTGGAAGGTTTTCTTACATGAGCAGGAGGCCAAAAAAAGACAGAAAAAAGAATACGACTTCTGACAGCACCTCCTGGATGAGGTAGATCTGATGTTCACGTGCAGGTGTCTTTGTGTGCGTGTGCTCAAGTGTGGTAGTGTATGAGTGAGTGTGTGTCTGTAAGCCTTTAAAGGAGCTGCACATCAACATTCTGCGGAAAAACAGACGTTATGATGGCGTCGAGTCTAATAATTAAGCTCACTGATTACTGGATTAATAATAAGACTACCAGCACTGTGTCAGTGGCTCAGAGTTTTATCATCCCAGGAATAATTTTACCGGTTTACACACACACACACACACACACACACACACACACACACACACACACACACACAAACATCAAGTGCATCATGTGGAATATTTGTATATTATTATATTATATTTATAATTGGGCAGCATTTTTCAACCAGTGGTAGCGCACCCTGCTGGGCAAAAGCAGTAGTAACGGTGTCCTCTTTCAGTCGGGATTACACTTTCTGCGAGTCTGTTAGTGTGCACTAGGGTCCACTAAGGACCCAATCATGGAAATTCCATCATCGGACAATAAGCCCGAGGGTTCTTGCGGATGTCCGTGTGACTGTTTGTCTGTGACCGTGTGGATTTTCTATGAGCGCACACCAGGGAGACTCAAAGTGGACCTCAAAGAAGTATGACAGGACTTACTCCTTCTCTGTGTCATGGAGCAATGGAGTATAATCTAGGCCTTACTTTTCAGGCCATCGTGTCCATCTTTTATATACAGTGTATGCTTTGTGTATGGCAATTTAATTAACCACAGCCAATTTAAGATAAGGTGCAGCTGCCACAGTGGGTGGAAAGTCCTCACACTTGAAGAGACTGGAACAAGAGAACATAACAGTGTGTTGAAGCTGTTATTGATTCATGTTCTGCTGATTAAATAATTAACCTGCCCACCAATAATTGAATTTGTATGCATGAACTCAATGACAGTCTGTGTCACAGGATTACAGATTTTGACCTGATGGTAGGAAGGCTGGGCTGTTCTTTGCAAATTCAACAAACTTGGCAAGGTTGCTGCTTTGAGTCACAGCACTGGTTAGACCACCTAACTGAAAGCAAACCCTTCATTCTGGCGTTCTGATGTGACACAATATTGTTTACCGTTTCCCCCTTTTTAACCTGTGGTTTCTCATATCAGAAGAAACTGAAACCTAACAGTACAGACCTCAAAGTCTACATGAGTGAAAGCAGCCTGGATAGAAATGTTACTACAGTGCACCAAGTAACCAAGCCCCGAATATAAAACCACAAAGGAAGGAGAAAGAATGCAGAACTCTTAATCATCACATCATTCTTATTAAGGCTGCTGCTGACAGGTTGACAGGTGAAGAAGGCAAAGGAAACGTTTGTATGAATTTGCACATGTGGGAGCTGCAGCAGTGTCTCGATGCATGCGTGGAAAAAGATGAAAAGAGCTTGCAACAGTTGCAGATCGTGATTTATGAGTGCACGTGAGAAAACCTCACATACAGTACCTCCATATATGCTGTGTGTGTGTGTGTGTGTGTGTGCACTGTACCAGTCTTTGGCGAGGATCCGGAGACGCTGAGAGAGCACTCCATCTTTGCCGTTTCCCACGGATAAACGCTGCTATCGTCCGACTTGATGGCGATGGAGAAGGATGGGCCTGCAAACGCCAGCACATCGGTTCAAATGAGCTTTATTCAAGAGACATTTGACACAGACAACAAACATCAGAGAAACTCTGCTGAGATCAAAAGGGCTCGTTCAAACACAGGCTTGCTTTTAAACCTACATATACGATAATTCGGCATTCGGGTCCCTGAGGAAAGACAGTAGATGTGAGCTTGCGGGGAGAAAATATAGTTCAGCCCTCAGATGATAAATACTGCTTTAAAGTCACAGTCTGCGGGTTCTCTGATATGCTGAAATCAACAAGCAGGAAACAGCAGCACTGTAGCTAAAGCAGATGGTAGCTCAAAACCAGAGCTCGGCACCCGCTATAAATTTGTAAAATGGAACCGCTGCTGCAAGGCTAACAAAGCCCTCAACTATAAAGATTTATAGCTACAATTTCAAGTGTGCCTTCAGTGTTGACACCTTAATGGCTTTATATTCTGCAACCCAATGAAGTTTTCAGGTTGGCTTTGGGCCGTTTCGTTAGAAAAAAGGAAAACGCTTGAGGCTCTTTCGGGTTATGTTTAAAATTAGTTTACTAACAAGTAATTTCTGCTTTTGCATGCTATGCGTCTAAGTGGAAGGAAGGAGTGAAAAGCCATTTTTTACATGTGAAACCTTTTGGAGCTGTAGATCAGGATCTCTCTCACATGGAGCAGAACGTAGTCTGCTTCAGAAACTGTGTCGAAGTGGAGACGGTGTTTTTCTGAAGCAGTTGGAGCATGAATGATGCACCACACACAGCACGATTTGCAAATCGGACCAATCTGGCATCACACTGACTTTGTAATAGGGAGCTGGCAGGTTAAAGACCGGCTAATGTCTTAATAGACTGCGCAAGATGTGGGAATTCTCACCTGCACCTCAGTCAGGTAAGTCTTTAAATACAGTTCAGAGTGGCAGCTAATCTGTGAGGAAAAACTCTCAGTCAGGGATGAGATAAAGAAAAATATGTGTCTGGGTCTTGAACCAGGATCTAGTTTCAGATTTCGAACGTTCATCGAGTCTTGAAATCTACGAGTAGGTTCAGCAGGTCAAGGTCCACGCTAGGCCTCGATGGAAACCTCACACAGGAGCACTTAACCTGACAGTCTGCCCGCCCCCTCACCGCTCCTCACTCTGTTCTGGATACTTTTAAAATATGTGCAGATGGTCTGCTGAATTATGAGGGTCCCTGCTGAGTTAATCCCCACAGACTCCCATGTTAAACTGCTTTGCAGCATTAAAAAGCAGTTTTAAAGCCAGGTACAAAAAATAAAAGTAAGAAAGTAAGAAAGCTACAGTCAATTTCCCCTTTTTCATGACAACTGTAAGATTTTACACAGCCTTAAGTTCTTCTTAGGCGTGTGTCCACTTTCAACGAAAGGTGGGTGCCAAGAAGAGTGTTACCTTTCTGTGCAGCTTCAAATCCAAGTTGCAATAATCTGACAAATAATACGAATTACTGTTTGGTTAATTGCCAATAAGAAGGTAAGTATATGTCCCAGAGATGCATTTACTAGCCTAGAGTGCGTAGCGACCATCTGCAACAATTGGTTTCAATAGCGAAACGTTTATTCCCTGACCAGCTGCCTGTACCCCACTGAGCTGTAATGAAACTTGGAAAAACAGCAAAGCAAACAGGAAACGTTGAACGCTCACCCTCAAAGTAAAAGCTGTGCCTTATTGCTGCTACCAATATTTTCCAAAAAGGTAAAACTTTTATTTTGAAGGCAAAAAAAGTCTCTGCTTCCAGTTTTCATCATGCTTTTCACAGTTTAGCCACCACTCGACGAGCAGGACCTGGTGGTTACTGACCGGGCTCTATTCCTATGTGAACGGGGCTTTAGCAATCAATTTCATAGCAACCACTGGCAACCGGTCAGGAAATATAGATGTGTCCTTTGGGACCAGTTAACCCCAGATAGTTGGTAACCAGATCTAAGCCTGTGTGATTCTATGCCTGGAAACCAACACATGGAAGAATTGGATCATCATAGAAAAAAAATAAGGATTCATTTGGATATTAGCAAACATGTAGATGGATAGAAATGATCCCTATCCTTGGACAACATAATTTGTGGTGAATTTGTGTCTTAAAGTGTAGTGCTGATTGGGTTGCAAAACAAGAAAAGTGACGTACAAATTAATTTGATCGTGTGGAGAAAAGGAAAAAAAAAACAAAAAAAAAAACTGCCCGGGAATAACTACAGTCGTGAGACCTTGGAGCCATTTCTCGTAAAATCTAAAATGTTCTGACAGTTTTCCCTCAGAAGTCTGCACTCCCCATGCTGTCATGAGTAGCATACTGTATAATGCATGCACTCCAGCTGCATAAACATTATGAAAATACTAAGACATGTTTAAGTTTTGCCACTGGTGATCTATATGCAAGTCCAAAGAAAGCCTGGCCTTAAAATTCCTTTACGTCGCTGATGTTTGTATTAGGAAGCATGTGCTCATCACTCTGTGCCATGGATGGTCTTGTCATGAGAGGACAAATGATATGTTGGATGACACGGATTTAACTTAAAACCTTCTAATAAACGATGAATGACTGAGTTTAGGAATGTGTCCCAGTAAAGGTGGACATTAAAGCTCTCCTTTTAGCTCATTCCTCTATCTTACTCTGGGATCAGAGTCAGACTCTACTAATGAAGACTTTCACAAAAGAAAAGGGGGACATTGTTTCTTATAGAGGCCTTACTCTTGGAAAAAGATACCACTTTTTTGTCTGTATACTTATATACTTCTCACTTAATTTTAACGGTTAAAATCACTTAATAAAGGCTGAATTATTAAACAGTGACTGTGCTGTTGAGACGTTGCATTTCCATATACCTCCTCGCAGAAGATCCCCATGCAAGGCAGAAATACCACAGCACGTCTGAAACATTGAAGATACAGCTGGAACAATGGGAGGCTTGCCAGTTTGTGGATGCACTCGACACACACACAACAACGACGAGTGCACAGCGCTTCCGTCCCCCAAGGCGAGTGTAAGGGGTTCTTGAAAACCACTCTGCTTGAAGCTTGATCGCTGTTAGTGTGGGAGTGTGTGCGTGTGTGTTGCTCTGTGTGGGGTCAACTCAAAATGTTCAACTCGGACACACGCGCTCGAACACTTGAAAGATTACACACGCACGCAAGCAGAGAGAGAAAAGGAAAGCAGTGGTGCAGATCTTTGCAGCTGGCTGATTGGCCAAAGGGCTTCACTTTGAAGTTGTCTCAGAGAGCGAGGGAGGGAGGGAGGGAGGGAGAGACAGCAGGGGTGAGAGAGGGAAGGGGTGGTGGAAGGAACGAAGAAGGTAAAAACAGTGTGATAGAAGAAAAAAAAAGGGAAGTAAAGCTCAAGGGTTCCTGCCCTCCCCAGAGAAAGACAGAAGACGGTCTTCAGTTCATCTTCTCCTTTTCCACGTTTCCTCCAATTTGCTGTCATCTTTCACTTCTTCGCTCCTGCAGCCTCAGAGCATCTCTGCTGTCACCAAACGTCTCTCGCACACGATTAAAAATGTTTCATCCAGTCTTTTAACAAAGATGTGCGACTTACTCCAGGTGGTGGCGTCTGCTTTCAAACTAAATATTATGTCCCCTGAGAAGACTTCCTAATCTTTTTGCCCACAAACAGCAACTTGAAGTTGTCATCTAAACTGTGCTTTGGATTTCCATGCTCTAATTTCCTCACGGTAGCTCATTCACTCATAAATGTAAACGTTCCTAATTTCATGGCAGCATCTTTTATCTGTATTTTTTGCATAAGCAGGTTCTACTTGTGGTTACTTATTAGCTGTATATAAAAGATGGAAGTAGCCACCATAATGTGACCTATATTTGACTTTAGCATCAAAGCTACGATCATATTTCATTTATTTATTTATTTGTTAGAGGAAAATGTTGCTGCATCTGCGTGATCAGCTAACGCTAACAAGCAAGGTTAGCATGGTGCATTAAATGATATATGGGTGGATGACACAGACTGCTAATTAGTGCTAAGTAACACACAAATGACATACTAAAGCTTCACTCACCAAAACCGGAGAACAGACTTCTTGGACCATCTGCACCACAGAGCATATCACCGTGTTATGATGCTCCAAAAGGCATCAAAACCACAAACGCAGGCTGAGTTTACTCAGGAGAAATAGTGATGATGCTAAAGCTACTACTTTATGTTGTATACATTTATGGTTTTATCTTAATATGGGCATTTTACTTAGGAACTATGGAGACAGGCTGAGTTTTGGAAACATCCTCTAAGTGGCCATTAGACAAACTGGTGTTTTTCACATTTTTCAGCTGCGATGGTTAGCTTTCACACAGGGTTATCAATTCATATATGGAACATTACATCGCCAGATAGATACTTTATTGATCCCACGTGGGAAATCTCTGTGTTACAGATACGAAGGTTTCCAAATGATTGCTAAATTATAGATGCAGACAGATTGCCGACATGTTGCCATCAATCTGAATGAGCGTATCAATAAGCAGAACTCGAGGGGACTTAACTCAGCTGCTTGTATTCTGGTTATATAATATATGTTTCAGTCACCATATCACAAATGTTAAACCTGAAGTGAGAAGTATTGTGATAATATCACATCGCGAGGTGTCTGGTGATTCCCACCTCTAGCAGCTACGTCACCATCTGTAGGGGAGTTCCTGAATTTCTCTTTCAGATCTGTGAGGTTCTGACTGGATTCTCAGTGTAAGCAGTTAATTTCTGTTTAACGTGTATGTAGATAGAAATAGATTAGCAACAGACAGCCACACGTTTGTGATTTTCACTGATTTAACACAGTTAATCACTTTATTATCATTGTCCTTTCTCTAAAATTCTCCACCTTTTGTTATTGTTGACTTTCATCTTCCCTTCATCCTCTTTTTGGCAACTTTCCTTCTTCTGGTGATGCATACCTCCACGCCAACCCCCCAGCCGGCCCTGATACTGCCTCAGCTGCTCTCCACATTGTTTCCATTTCTATTTCTCTGCCTCACCCATTGCACTTTCCTCCTCCTCAGTCCACTTTACCACCTCTCTCACATTGTCTTCCTTGTTGCCTCCCTCCTTCCCTTTCTGACGCTCCTGTTTCTCCTGTCTCCTACTTCCCAGATCAAAGAAAGTTAAGTAGGCCAGTGGCTGTGGTGGGCGTCAAAGGGCTTAAGGTGTGTATCTGTGTGTGTGAGAGAGTATCTTTATCACCGCACATTTTTAGGGAATTTATGTTGCTCATTATTAACACTGTGTGGGAGGAGGATGTGTATTTATTTTGTGTAGAGGGATGTACAGAACACGGATGCTTACACATTTCTATAAATAGACAGCTACTTTGAGATTTCCAGGATAATTGCAAGGCCTTAATATTAATTTATTCGCTGGTATTTGTTCCCACTGTTATGAAAGTGAATAAGTGATCGAAAGACTAGACAACGGCTCTATTATTGATGAATTTCACTACAGTGCTTGGAAAATATTTTATCACCATTTAGCATTAAATTATGCACTTTGCATAAAGGCTGCTTTTAGGAGGTTTCATTAAATGAGACGGTGTCTTACAAAACAAATACAGCCTTAGGAGCAACACAAGTGAGAAAAAACCCACCTACGAGTAAAAGGGCGCAATTAGGGTGGAGGTTTAACATGAACTCTGTCATCCTGTGCTAAACAGAGGAGCAGCTGCTGGTTCTTTAGTGTTTTTTCGACTCTAAATTCACATGTAAAGTTTATCTCAAAGCATAAACTCAGGCCTCCTCAGCATACACACAGTGACGTCCTCCAGGGTGACTGAAATGAAACTCTGCTGCTAAGTTTTAACAGCCCCCTTTAGCCCCTTCAGTCACCTCAGTGGCAGACGTACGCTTGAAATCAAGAGTTTTCTGTACAGGCAGCAATCAGAGTTATGTATCACCTGCCATCTGATTGCCTGTTGTAAATCACTCTCTACGAGTCCTGTTCTGACCTCTTGCATTTTTGCCATTTCATCAAACTTGAGCATGAACTCCTGTTTCAAAATGATTCAGCTTTCACAACGAGAATCAGCTCTGGTAATAAGAGGTGGGTCTTCAGAATTTGAGACCAAATAGCAGGCGTCAGATCCTTCAGCGTCCAAGCCAGGAGCATGCTCTTTGGGTTTTCTTCATCCTTGTTTATATTCACAGGGCTGTCCACAGTGAATCCATCCCGCAGGACAGATTTAATGTAGATCCTCTGCTGTAATGTTCTGAAGTAACTGAGGAAGGACATTTGACTGAGATGGCCAGAACTGTAGCGTGTGTGTCGGCACACAGCCCACTGACAACAAAGGGCTTATTTTGGCCACACTAACACAGTCTTCCTTAGGGACTGCAGTTTCACTTGAAAAAGAGAAACCTGGATCCTAGTCCGTTTCATAATTATCTAACATTATTCTAAAATCTTGCAATCAGACTTTTACAAACATCATAGCACAGAAAGCGCCCTCCTGAAGATAACGGATACCAGCCTGAATACAGATTCAGGCAAACTGAGTACCCTGGTAATGTTAGCATTCAATACTGTACATCCTAACACACCATCTGACAGGTTAGAAAATTTGATTGGGTCCTACAGGGAGTGTTCATGCATGGTATACGATCATACTCTCAAGGTAGGGATTATTTATTCTGTCTCCATTGATGCTTATGAATCAGACAAAAACGTAACGCCATGTGGAGTCCAGCAGGGATCAATCCTTGGTCCTCTTTTGTTTGATCTTTTAGTGATACTTTCAGGTATACAAGGCAGGTTAACATATCTATGCAGATGATACCCTGATCTATCTGGCTCTCTACTAAATGATTCCTATTGATTCATTACATTTGTCTCTTGGGGCACTGAAGACTTCAACCTATGTGAAAAAACTTGGTATAATGATGGTTGACAACCTTAGGTTTGCTAACCATATTTTGGCTTTAGCTACATCTAGCTAAACTGATTAACTTAAGAAGTTATTATTTCATTTTTGTTCTTGGATTCGATCGTGTAAAGCTTGTTGACTGTAATGTTTAAAAACAGGCTATATAATTTATATAAACGCCTTTCATAGCCTAACCACATGGTCTACTCGCCAGATTTGGCTCCATATTACTTTAGCCTCTTCTCTAAAGAGAAAACAACTTTGGACATGCAGTGCGCATCGCAGACATACAATACAAGGGTTAGAACAAGAGAAACCTACAACCAGCAGCCATTGTAAAAGTGTTGCAGGCTGCCCAATGACGCAACCTTGAAGGGGAGATCGTCAGAAAACCACTTCAGATAGAGGAGGGTGGAAATTTTGGAAAACTCACCATTTTCCAGGAAGTTTATCCTGATTTTATTTGATTCTGAGCTGCTGGCTTTAGTCCAAGCCTGTCCCGGCTGCTGTTTCGTCCATGCAGTGACGTCACACCAGTAGTAACCTCTGTCGGACAGCTGGACACCTGCCAGGCGAAACCGAAACTCTGCCGCACCCGACTTGGTCAGAACCAGATTGTCTCTGAGTAAGCAGTCAAAAGAAATTGTTTTATATGTCTCAATATAAAACAAGAAACTGCAGTTTGTTACTTAAATGTGTTCATGTGTACCTCCTGTTTGGGTCTGTGGCTCCTCCGTGCTGTACGACATTGTCCGGGCTGAGAGTCATGATGGTCCTCACGGTGCTGTCCAAGCTGTCCTGAGACTGGATGAGCACAGAGTACCCCGCATCACCAATGTTCTGAGTGGTGACACTGCAGCCCAATTCAAAGGTAGAGCCTCCTACTGATGCCTCACGGATGCGTTTAGCCACCACATTCACAATCGGACCTGGAAATAGAAGCGGCCGTTCAATCATTTAGTTCTAAGAAGAGCGTCATTCAAACCATCACAGACAGGGGGAAGTCCCCACCATTGACAGGGGTCAACGGGAAGTGATAAGTACTTAGACTATGAACTGTGACTCATTCAAAGCAGACCCATACACACATACACGCGCAGCACACTGCAATTACATCACAGCCCAATCAGCTAAATTATGGTCACCAAGTTCAACATGTAGATCTCAAATAGGGAGGAAGTGAATGTCTGTGTGTGTGTGTGTGTGTGTGTGTGTGTGTCTGTGTGTGCGCACTGTGACAGTGAAGCTGAGACAAAAGGAGGTCTGTTGTGGGATTCTTCTGTAAAGTCTATAAACGATATGGACACATTAACATTTATTCATGAAACTCAGCAGTGAAGCTACTGTGGCAGCCTGGCAGTGCATGAGTAGTTTTCTGAATCACGAATCTGAGTTTGGATTTTCTGTATTTCTTCCAAAAACACCTCATTAAGTACCTCACTGACCGGGCACATTTGTGCACGCACACAGGCAGGTATACTGTTAATTTTGCCAAAACACTGATACAAAGCTCAGTTTTTTTATCTGCATGTGACACAGAATCACATCCACAAAAGTGGAAGTCTCAGTTACAGAAAAGAAACTCGTTTCTGCTACTTTCATATGTTTTTGGTAAGTCACACTGAATTAAAAGGCAATTTGTTGTAATAATTTTGAGGCTGGTAAGCCTCGAGTATATCACAACGGTTTATGATTCTTTTGTAATAGATGCTGCACAGCAATTTCTCCACATTCTTTTAATTAAAAATAATAACATTAGCCCCACTGACCAGCAGATAAAAGCTAGAAAGAATAAAGATCTACATGCTTTTTCTGATTACTAATGCCAGTGAATCAAGAATCTAAGTCATAATAAAAGCTTTCTTACGCTTGGTGTCCCATCGCACAGTCAGCGGCGAGCTTCTGTTCTCAGAGGTCTTCACCATGTCTCCCTGGCTGTTGATGCTCCAAGCAGACACACTGCAAACATACTGGCCCATGTCGATCTCCTGCAGAGCGAAAATGAATGCCCATTAATGCCTCCGAGTTCCTTTATCGACACCTGACTGCCATTTACTCTTTCCATCACTTTATACTCATTTAACCACAATTTAGCCTCATAGCACTTCGTCGTTTTCAGGATTCCAATAAGACTTTAAAATTATTGCAGGGCAACGTTTAGCTGCACAGCATGTAAAACTGTACCTGTGTGCGGAGGATTCGCAGCTTGAACGTGTTGGGCTGGACTCTGCTCAGCGTTAACGCACCGCTCTTCATCCTTTCCATATAAATCGACCCCGGAAGCAGGTTGCCATTAGCATCCAAGGAACCAATGGGATGTGAGGTCTGAGGATCGCCCCCTAACCCTGCCGGTATCAGAACGATTTAAAAATTGAGTGATTCTGTGGAAAAACTTCTCTAAAGTAAATCTGAATTAAACATACCAGGAAGCGATGTGTGCTCCCAGCTGACGCCCAGTCGGCCTCCAAGAGGTAAGTTGGCAATGTTGGTGACGCGACAGGCGAGTTCTGTTGGCTCAGCTGTCGTCTGGGGGTTGACTTCAGCCACGAGGGTCAGCGTGAAGTTCGGCTCTGTGGTGAAAAAGCGAAGCAGCATAAAATTAAACTGGGTGTCAGTACGGAATAGAAAACTTTAATGAGGTTGGGTGGTCTGATAACTCTGGTCCTTTTGGGTTTTAAACTCATTTGCAGTACTTTTTACCCAATTAATTTTTATCAGTTTGAACTGCCATGCTTTCAATTTAACCTCAGGAAAAGCACGAGGAAAGAACCACAGCTTTATGGCAGCAGACTATAAGAAATAACCAACTGCAAATGTGAAGTTCCATCCAAGCATCATTCAACCTGAACAAAAGCCTAGCCCATAAAGAAACAGATAAACCCGACTGGCCTGCACAGAGCTCTTGTGCTCATTTTAAAATATACGCAAGCTTCTATGTCCATTACTTTAAAAAAATATAGCTTCTTGAAATTGGATGATTCTTTTTGATGCACCCTGGTGAGATTGTGTTTTTAGTAGCATTTGCATGTTTATCATTCTGTCTGTAAACGGGATAGCTCAAGAAGGTTTTACTGAATTCTGATAAAACTTGGTGTAAAATGGGACCACGTTAATAATCCATTAAAATTTGGCATCCATCCACCAAGGTCTTAAAGGTCAACTTCATGATTTATTACCTGAAAACTGACAAAAAAAAGCCTCAAAACTTAGAGACGTGATGTGGTATACATCGTCAAAGTGATAACAGAGCTATTTAAAACTGAAAACACAATACTATTGCCTTTAAAGTAAACGCTGTTCGGACAGTGAGCTGACTTTGCAGAGGTTTGTGCTTCTTGTTATATAAAATATATCCTGTCCTTGTTTCAAACTCGATACATAAAGTATGGTCGACTGAAAAGAAGCCTCATGCCCAGATGGTGCAACTGGCATAATTAAGTGGTCAGACTTAGAATGGCAATTAAGTTTACCGGCAAACAGCCTAGAAGGCGGCAGATTAATGGCCATGACCACATAACATACATCTAAGTGTACACATACAAAATCTACAGCAGGAGACGGGCTACGTGGAGTTTTTAATTATCCTCGTTGTCAGCAGGGTTGAAATGAGCACTTCTTTTAAGAAGAGAATCAGAACCCTGACGGCTGAACAGCTCCTCGATGATAATGCCAGAAATTGAGTTACTGTGCTGCCTCGAGAGACATTATTCCCAACCCAGCCGGGTATTGCTTTCATCAGTCAGTCCTAGGTCACATTAACAGTCTGACATCACCAGACACATGCAAAGTGAATCCTCCTTTTTTTCTCTCTCTCTTTTAGGTGATTTCTTCCTTAAATAGAGTTAGGTGACTGAGCCAGGTGACAGAAATAGAGCAGAAATAACACCGTTAACTGTGTGAGATGAGGTGGGTATCAAAGCATTAATAGTGTGTGTAGGTGGGGAGGCAGGTCCTCTCAGTCAGGCATCCAGATTGCACCTTTACGCGTCAGTGAACAGGAAACACACAACAAGATTTCCACCTGCTTAACCGTGAGAAATCACACACACACACACACACACACACACACACACACACACACACACACACACACACACACACACACACACACTATATAAAAGTAGTTCCTGATACATCCCAAAGTGTGCCAGCATACCAATAGA